CTTTCCCTTCACTTCCTCATCTGGAAATGTTCAAATAATCCAGCAATATCTAGTCCTATATCTGGAGTGAAACAAGCAATGATTCCCCCACTACCTCATTTGTAACTACCTTTCTTTCAGAGCACTATTCAAAATGTCCTTCTTGGAGTTGCTTTGGCCCAACCTCTTCAGGCCTGCAGTTCCCCATACCTTTTTTAAAACAGGCGATGAGGTCAAAGATCTGCCATCCTTTTGCATCATGCCAGTGAAGTATCCTTTGTTTTCCTTTTAGGGCAGGCTCTCACTGTGAAGATAACCAGTAATACTGTAGGGCTCAGATGTCCTCTCCTCATCTGGAAGCCAGATTGGTCTGTAGGGTAAAAGCTAGAGAGGAGCATAGCTGTGCAGGACAGATGTTCTTTGCCATTTTTTGTCTTCATGTTTCTCTTCCCTTCCAGCCCAGCATTGCCAGTTCCAAGTCTCTGCTTCTCCACTGTTGATAAGGGATTTGTTGATAGAGGGATTATAGCCTAGTAATCAGGTTGATTTAAAAAGTGGAATTTATTGGACAGTAGCAGCTGAATACAGAAATACATCTCACTGATTGTGTCAGTGGAGATAAAACTCAGTTCAAAGAGGGACTTTAATTTCTCTTTTTCTGGAAGCTGGATGATGATGAAGAAATAATCTGTACTTTCTCCTACAGAAGGGGTCAATCCTGTGACTCCATTTATCTGGGGCCTGAAGATAAGCCAGTTGCACAGAGAACCTTATCACTCTGGCATTTTTATTTTCCAGGTTGTTGGCTCTCAAGCTAGAATCTTATATTCTGATCAGAGGGGTCGTGTGTCTATAGCCATGGCTATTAATCGAGCGATTTCCGAAGGAAGGATTAAGGTTTGTCTTTTTTGACTTGATATAGTCTGGTAATTGTGTTTAATATCTGAGACTGGGGTGGTGGGTGGGAAAGGAGAAAGCTCCAACCAGTGAGAGCAGAAGTGCCTGCCACTTACATGGGACCAGTATTCTGTTGACATGTATTAGAGCTCAGTCCTCCTCTCTGCCTGTCACCAGTATTTCACTACATAACAGAAGAGAGATGGGTTTAGAAACTCTCAGAAATATGCTGCCTTTTATTTCATGTTGGGAATCTGTCTTATTTTCTATTTGGGCACCTACAAGCACAACGTACCCTGCTGTGGTTGTCTGGAAACACAAGGCAGGGACTGTAACTCCTTAGCAATGCCCCAGACATTAAATGTAACAAGAGAGCGTGCCACTGCCCAATGATTCTTACCCTCTGTCCCTCACTTTGAGGCTTATTATGGCTACAGCCAGCCCTGCAGTCAATTTTCATTTGTATTGCATATGTGAATGAAGAAAATCATTAGGCTTGATCCTGCCAGTCTAGTGTATAATGAGAGTAGATAATATCTTACTCATCTGAGTAAAATCCAACTGACCATATGTGGTGGTGGTAGTAAAAGTACATACTATGGGCAAGACTGTACAGGGATTCTCTAAGTTCTTCATGAGTATTGCAGGTAGGGGTACAATATGACATCCTGGGGGACCAAAATCCAGAAGACACCACTCAGGAATTACACGCATTACTTGCTGTGGGCACTGCAGCAGACCAAGCACATCCACTCATTCATCTCCATCTCTTTTATAGCTGAATTACAATTACCCTTTTTAAAGGGTCAAAATCAATTCTAGCTAGGAAAGGTCTGGGGTTTATTACTCAGAAAATGTTTGTTAAAATATTTCTCAGGATTCAAAATGAACATCACTGCAAGCTAGTCTTAAAAAATAAACCTGACCAGACAGAACACTCCCTTGGAGCTATGACTGACAAGGTCACAATCCCAGGCCCTTCAAATTTTTATGCATCCTTTTTTTCATTCCTCCAAATATCCATTCCCCTCTCACAAACTGGGTGCTTATGTCTATTTTCAATGATTTTCTAATTCACTGCCAGCATAAAAGAGAGCCAGCTAATTCCAGACCACACTATGCCAAGAGTTACTCACTCTTTTATATAAAACCCTGTACATGGCAAATGATAATGAAGACCTGCAAGCTGATGTAGATTCATACTCTCAGTTAAATTCCAGATCAAGAATGGACTTGCTTGAGCTGTATGAAATCACTAATTTTCATTGCTAACTTATTTTTAGTCTTGAAGTCTTCCAAAAGAATGAAAAAGGGTAAAATTTCTTAATGTGAGTTTTCAACAGCAAATGAGAACTATTTTTGAATGAAGACTTTTGTATACTGAAATATTTTTGAAATTTCAGCAAAGAAATGCTCAGATTAAATAACCGTGCAGCTTCCCCTCTTCTCCCTGCCCTCCTTCGAGGATGCCGTTGGCAAAAAAAACAAGCTCTTGTTCTTAGTTACGAAAGGATGATGGCTTTCATGAACAATATGTGAACAACTGTTTTGTAATAAATAATAGCAGACAGAGAAGGTGTTTCAGGGGGTTTAGGAGAGGGGACAAAGCTGGAGTTTGAAATGACAGACATGAATTCAGCAAATTGTGATCCTTGGTAGCACTGACAGTCCATGAAGAATTCCATTTTCTTGTCCTTGGCTTTTTGCAGGCTCCAGTAGTCCTCAGCCGAGATCACCATGATGTGAGTGGGACCGACAGTCCTTACAGAGAAACGTCAAACATTTATGATGGATCAGCCTTTTGCGCAGGTCAGCAGAGCAGCTGAGACTTATCTGGGCAAACAAGGAAATTGCTTTAAAAGAGAAATTGGTTTTTTTATGCAACGTTTAAAACCCTTTTTGTTTAACCCTTTAATCCAAATTAATCAGAATTCCTGAGAAGCTTTGTGGGATTTAAGTGATACAGACATGAATGTGGAGATAGTTAAATGGGAGAGGTTCAGAACAATGCTGAAAATTCAATGAAGATGCACCAAGTTTACCTGAATGTAAATGGAGAGCAGTCTGTCTCAGAGGACTGTATCTTCTGTTCGATTTTAATTCCTCACTGCTTCACAGAGGTGATCTGAGCAGAAATACAGCCATGTTTCCTTGGGATCCACAAGATCAAAATCAGGTCTATAGTAGTATTTTGCTTAAAGCAAAAAGATTCACAGCTGTGTTAATTTCATTGCCTGAAGACTCAAGAAGACAATCTGGAGTATCTAAAATGAACTTTTCTGATCATAAGGGAACATACTTTGATAGTAAAAGCATAAGAATGGATTAGACTTGGAGCCTTACAGTGTGACTGTGGGCAAATGATGTACGTTTGCTATACAAAAGGAGCCTTTAATTCTGCACACCTGGCCTTGAGCTATGCAGAGTCTGCTTTTACGTTTGTGAAATGATGCTTTAGAAAAAGAAACCAAAGAAATACCAGATTGGAGACCTGAAAAAACAAGTGAAGCACTAAGCAATTTTTAACCTAAATCTTCCTCAATTTTCTATCCATAAAGTGGAAATTATGATAATAGCTTTAGCCCAGTAGTGTTTCCACATCATGAACTGACAGTTACAAAGTGGCGTGAGATTGGAGGATACAAGCTGCTGTAGAAGGAGAAATTATGACAGAGGTAGCTGAGCATATTCAATTACTTCCATTATGGGAATTCTTAATAGAACCAAATTATGGCTCAATTTTAAGGAGAAAAGTTCCCTGCGATCTGAACTGGATTTCCTGATGAAATGAAGCTTTTAGCTGTGTCTATCAGTCCCACTTCAACTCTTTTTGAGTATGTTGACTAGTTCTAATAGGCCAGATGGATGGATGCCTTGAATAATATTTGGTTCTGACAAGCTGTGAGAAAATGGTGCAGCTGCACAGCACAGAGAACAGCAAGCCAAAGTAATGTCTTCACCAAAGGGCCTAGCAACATAAGTAAACCTCAGGCAATGCCCTCAGAAGAGGGCAATAGAAACAAGGCTTGCTAAGCTCCATTGCTCATCAGGCTATGTGTTTTTCTTTGTGTTTTGTGATTTACATGAACAATTTGCCTTCTGTAAGGGCTTGTCTAAAACCTGTTGACCACTGATTTCACTGGTCTTTGAAACCAGGCCTAACTCAGTTTTACCAGATAAGCCTCTGGAGGTAATAAAAGAACATCTTAGATCTTCCTCTCTCCCTTCTTGTTGTTTTAACACCACATTTCAGCTGGTTCAGGTGAAATTGTCTTCTCTCTAACACACAGGAATTTTCCAGTGTTTGCCTGTCTCATTTTGTTTTACAGTGCCTCAGACTGATCCTTGGCGATAGTGAGTCATCGCTGCCCCGCAAAGTGTATTTCAGCACAGATATTTGCACAGTTAGTGACCTTTACCAAAGCCAAGGAGCAGCTCTTTATTGTGTCGTTAGTCCACTTGCCAAGCTCCTTATCCAACCTCCACTCTTATTATGCTAGTGGCTGAGGAAGAAATCTGTACATTTTAGAATACAGGGATTTTGATCTCTTCCATTCCCTCTTGACAGCACTGTAATTATGATAATTGGGTTATTAAAGTGACACAATGCCAGAGAAAAGATGCCATAATGGGGCTTTTGACAGAGTTTGACATAGATTAGTGCTCAAGTAAACTCATTTTTCCATCAGACACATAACAACTGTGGGGTCTGCAAATGTAGCTGGTGGGGATATTGCTGTTTGTCTCTTATTTTTTGCTGTTAAAAGCCCAGCAAATGATCTATTAAATCTGTCCTGAATTAAATCTGGGCAAACATTTTCAGTAAATTTTGCCCTGTTATCCTCTGCATGTACTTTCCACCTCTCTGGGTATACAGTTTAGCACAAATTATAGTGAATATACAACATTCTACTGAAAATTTCAGTGGAAATCATGCATTTGACATTAGTAAATTACATTTGTCTACTAAATTATTTTTCTTAATTTTTTTTAAAACAAAAGAAACCTCCTGTGTGATTTTAGCTGTTAGTGTTCAGGGTAAAATTCCCTCGTATCCAGAGAATCAGGGCCAATATCACTTTTATTGCAACCTTGTTCCCAAAATGCAACTTCTTAGCTTTAGACTGGCTTTCTACACAGGGCTGAATTAACTCTGAAGTCTGATCCGAAAATAATTCAGGCTTCTGAGAACTGAAAGGTGTGTAGTTCTCCAGTTGTCTCCCTCATTTTGAAACCCTCCACATGAGTGTGTCCAGCTTGTTCTTCCATGACTGAGGCATCCCAAAGGAGAGGATTGTGTTTCTCTCCACCCTGGAGAGATATTTCCCAGATGAGGAATGGTAGGTTCTCCAGCTGCTTGAATTGGACACAAATGCAGAAAGCACTAGATTCCCCGTAAAACACAGTGTGAAACTGGCATTTGTTTTCTCCAGTGTAGGGGCAAAGAGTAAGAAGAAAATCTCTTTTGCCTGTTCCTCACAAGAATGACAAGTTCAGTCTATATCTGTAAGAGAAGCTGTGGGTAAACCCTGGATCCAACACTGCTTTAACATGGCCATAATCAAGGTGTCGGTGGAAGGAGTGAGAGGCACAACAAAAAAATGGATACAGCATGTTGTATCTATAATACCTTTCCTCTCTTCCTAGACATGGCGGTACAAAACTTTGTAGGAGATGCATTCAGAGGAGCAACATGGGTTGCTTTGCACAACGGTGGTGGAGTTGGCTGGTAAGAACTTATTTATGTTTCAAAAGCTGGACTCTGAACCCTGTTACCGCTACTGTGTATGCTTGTGGGGAGGAGAGACAGGAGGGGAATCATAGAATCATAGAATGGTTT